CTGTGTTGAACATCTAAATGCTTTGGCAACAAATTTCTGAATTTTATAGTATAAAAAAATTTCTTCTTTAAAGTATAGAAATACACTACCTTGGAATACATGATGTAATCCAGAGTATATGACCTGGAATGGCAAACTCAGAATTCCCTGAAGTACAATGAAAAGATGAAAAGCCAAAGAGGTATTTCAGATAAGTGATGTGAAGAGATAACACAGACTGGAATTTCTGGGGCAACTGACCAGCCTGCAGCCGTGTTTTGATAAATGTGCTCTCTGCTTGGCCACTCTGAACTCTGTGCTTTCCTTCTGTCTTCCCTTCTGTTTCTGTTACCTGGAGCCAAGGTTGCTGATTGTTTGAAGATAGGAAGTGAGAGTGGGGAAGAGAGGGAGGGAGTAAGAGACAGGCTGAGGGGGCCAGGGGTTATAGAGTCAATACAATTCCTTTTATCTTTTTTTTTTCTTTGAAGCAGGTCAGATCTTATGATTCAATCTTCCATTTCAATTAGTCGTATTCCTCCTTCCTGTTTAATTTTGACAGGGATCTCTTCTCAAATTGCACACCTTTACTGAATATTTTTATTAGCTACTGTTCTCACTTCTGGGTAGTTTCTGGTAGATGCTGCATTCTCAAAAATAAAAAAGAGGATAAGATAAAGTAGATAAGTAAATTGTAAGTGATTATATATATATATAATCATACATATATACATATGTATCATATATACATCATATATACATACATATGTATGTATGTATGTATATATGTATGTATGTATATATGATGCCTTGTGAGAATGGAGCCTGGGATGGCACTTTGATATTATGAAGCAAAATGCCTTCCATGAGTACAGAGCAATGTAAACTGTAAGAATACACGGGAATGAGCCATGGCCTTACTGGGTTATGTGACATAGGAAGCCACAAACAGGAAAACAGCATGATCCCCAAACCTCCGTGTAGTGTTTTCTTTTATTAGTTTTCTGCTGTGAGACTTTGCTACAAAAGTGCATTAATGCGTAGCCCAGAACCACTGGCAGCACCAAGGCTGCAGAATCTTAAGCTCCTGCTGAAACACAGTTCATTTTTTTTATTTTTTTAATTTATTACAGTTTATTTACTTTGTATCCCAGCTGTAGCCCCCTCTCTTGTCCCCTCCCAATCCTATCCTCCCTTCCTCTTCTCCTCCCATGCCCTCCCACAGTCCACTGATAGGGGAGGTCCTCTTCCCCTACTATCTGACCCTAGCCTATCAGGTCTCATCAGGACTGTCTGCATTGTCTTCTTCTGTGGCCTCCTAAGGCTGCACCCCACAGGGGGAGGTGATCAAAGAGCCAGCCATGAGTTCATGACATGAGTTCATGTCAGAGACAGCCCCTGTTCCCCTTACTAGGAAACCCACTTGGACATTGAGCTACCATGGGCTATATCTGTGCAGAGGTTCTAGGTTATCTCCAAGAATGGTCCTTGGTTGGACTATCAGTCTCAGAAAAGACCCCCTAGACCCAGAATTTTTTGGTTCTGTTGGTCTCCCTGTGGAGCTCCTGTCCTCATCAGGTCTTTCTTCCTCCCCTTCTTTCATACTATTCCCTGCACTCTGCCCAAAGTTTGGCTATGAGTCTCAGCATCTGCTTTAATACCCTGCTGAGTAGAGTCTTTCAGAGTCCCTCTGTGTTAGGCTTCTGTCCTGTTCCAGAGTTCACTTTTAAATAAGATCCCTAGATGAGCCCTACATGAATGATAAAGTATGAAATGTAATGCTTCAACATTTCTAGGCAATCTAATACATGAGATGAAATAGACAGTGTTGACCCCTACAAACATTTGCCTGCATACCTCCTCATTCTCACATAATTAGGAAACTGCTGTGGCATGTGCTAGAGACAGAACATTGAACATACATGTGACCCCTGCTCTGGCAGAGCTTATGGACCAATGATGGATGGGCAGGAAAAGTTGATTACCAAATTATATATATGAAATGTAGAATTTCAAAGAGATGAAGAAAAATTGTTGGATAATATCAAACATACTGTATGAAATTGGGAGTTTGAGCCTGGCTCCCCAGATAGATACACTTCACCTGTATTCTAGTGATTAACTGCACTTGGCTGTTCAAGGTAGGAGGAAGAAAGGAAGGTATCCAGGGGACAGCAAAAGCAAGTATGCGCTTCATGTGGGGAAACATACAACCTGGTGAGTTAGTTCAAACAGCCAGAAGCAAATGCACAGGCCTGAAGTCAGGGCTTGTGGACACTACAGGGTGGAGAAACGGGCAGGCACCATGCTATGCTCTGCCACAGAAGGAAGCTGACTTTTCTTACCACCATTAGAGGATTGGGAAGTCAGGGAGGACTTGAGAGCAGATGGGTGCTTGTTTTGCTCAGGAAAAGGTTTCTCTCTGTGCTGTACACTGTGCCTGAACCATGAGTCCAAGATACTATCACCTGCTGCAGAGGAAAAGAAGGCTTACCCAGAGAATGCCCAGCAGAGGGAGAAAAGCTCCAACTGCTAAAGCCTTTTCTGTCAGGTGCACTGTTGAGAATAGCTTACACGCCAGCCCTAGTTAGATGTAGAAGAGGTAAGAGTGGTCAGCCTTGAGCCCTGTTCTGTTCTCCCAGTGAGCATGCCAGAGAACATATGCATGCTCCAAAGGGGAAGTGAACTCTCCGGAGAAGAAACATCCCATGAAGATTTCAAATGGAAGTCCTGGAAGACATGTGGCTTTTGGGATTTGTCTTCCATGGATGACTTACTTTTCTGTTTTGAGGTTACAGAGAGCAGTTACCTTCTACCTTAATACTAAGAGCTAAGGAGAGGGAGGCAGGTGTTATGGGAAAGTGAGTCAGCTTTTCTTTCCAAATCTAAGGAACATTCTGGGAGCAAAGGATGCTCACCCTTTGGATTAATGCTGGGCATGTGACTATACATCTTTGCTTGGTAGTAGTCAGATTTTCATTATCTTTTACGTATGAAGTCTATCCTTCTTCTGATTTTCTCCCTTAATCCTCTTGTACTAGCTCCCTTCTCTCCTTAATTCCATCATTCTCTATCACTTGTTTCGTTGTTACTTATATGTAGTATCTCAGCAGAGAATCCTCAGGACCAGAGCAGGTGAAGAAAACTTGCATTGCTTCAGTGTTAGACAGAAAAGTGCTTCTGTGCCCAGTGTTTTATACACGTTGCTTTCCTATTCTCACCTGAAGATACCACTGTCTGTGCATCCTCCAAATATCCTACAGATATTACTACCTACATTTCTGTTTTGTTTTCTCATCTATAAAATTGAAGTAACAGTCTAAAAAAACTATCAGGAATAATTGTGTGAATTACATAAAATACTTGGCATAAGTGTCACCAGGTGCTTTTTCAGTCAATGCTGACTTAGAACCATGACTGAACTTTCTTAATTTTCAGAGAAAAATGAGATATGAAAGGTTGAAATGGTATTTTCAAGGAGGTACTAACAGCGACTAGTATTATGAAATATTTTTATACATGGGTTTGAATTCTGGATTTGTACATTATCTCCCTGGATGTCATGTACTTAACACCACAATCCCCACTAACTGAAGCTCTTCACTGTGGCATGTCTAATGGGGCTGACAAGACCTATCACAGGGTGGCAATAGAGGCTAATGAATTCCCCCTCCCATTGCTTGTGGTGAGGCTTACTAGGAGATAACTCATTTTTTCCTTTCTTTCAAAGTGTTTTGTGAGAATCTCTGAGCACAACAATGAGGTATGGCCTGGATGGTGTCTAACAAAATGAGGGAACTGAAAACCAAAACAAAACAGAACAAAATAGTAGTAACAACAATGCAACTCTTTAGAAATGAATAGCTTGGGACTAGGAGAATAGCTCAGTAGGCAAAACACTTGCCTTGAAAGCACGAGGACGTGAGTTTGAGGCCTGGAACCCATACTATAACAGAAGCTGGGCATGGGTGGTTTAAACTGCTAGCCCTGGTGCTGGGAGGAGGTGCTGGGTAGATCGCTGGGCTTCACTGGCCAGCTGGCTGAGCCTACATGAATACCTCCAGGACAGTAAGAGACCTTTTTGCATAAAAAGTGTGTGTGTGTGTTTTGTGTGTGTGTGTGTTGGGTACTGGTACTGTGATAAAATGCCATGACCAGAAGGAACCATGAAGACGAAAAGGTTTATTTCACTCACAGTTCCTTATGACGGTTCACCATCAAAGGCAGTGAAGGCAGGGACTCCCCCAGTGTGGGAGGCTGGAAGCAGGAGTCCATGCAGAGACCATGAAGGAGCACTGTTTACTGCCTTGTTCTCCATGCTCAACCTGCTTTCTTATAGAACCCAGGACCACCAGCCCAGGGGTTGCTGCACTGACAATGGGCTGGGTCCTCTGTGAATCACTAATTAATAAATGCCCTACAGGCTTGCCACAGCCGGATCTTATGAAGGTATTTTCTCCATTGAGGCTCCCTCCTCTTTTATGATGGGACTTTGTGTCAAGCTGATATAAAAACCAGCCAGTAACAGCTCACAACCATTCTTAACTCCAGGGCATCCAGTGCCTTTTTCTGCCCTCCACATGCACACATGGCACATGCACATTCATGCACGCAAACACTCATACACACAAAATAAATAAAACAAAAAATAAAATAATCTTTTGAAAATCAAGTAGAAATGGGTAGATAGAACTGAGTAATTCTGCTGTTGTTCTCTGTGTACACATGCATGTCCTTCTGTCCCAGGGGACTTTTCTATCGGGCATACTGATTGGGTTAGGGTGGTCCCAGTATTGCATCTATCTAAATTGAAATAAATCTGGATATATACAGAGGTAGGCTAATAGGTCTTTATAAATACATGTATGTATTAAAACTATTAAGCAAATCTGGATTTCCGGACACAGGACACATGCCCATCCACAGATGATGTGGATTTCACTATTGTGGCTGCAGACTTGGTGCAGGACAGACTGACAGAACTAATACCGCCATGGACACTGGGGCATAGTTGATTTACTTACGACCATCCACGGTCCTGGCCTCGAGATGCACAAGGTCTGGTTCTTTGTTTGACCCCATCACAGACCTAAAGAATGGAGAAACACAAAAAGGAACATTTTGCATTAATAACTTCATATATACCTCAGTGAAGCCCTCAGACTGTTAATGCTTCCAGTTCTGAGACCATAATCCTGGGAACATATCCGCTCCGTTTATATATAGAGCCTAACAGAAAAGTTTCCTCTTGAAATAAAAACAGTAATGAATCTCTCTGGCAAAGATACTGCGTGTCCTTTAGCCCAGACTTGGAAATATGTCCTGCAAGTGGGACACATGTGTTCTTGTCATCTCATCACACACTGAACACCAGATTTGACGGACTCATCAGGTAGATACTAGACATGCACAGGGACCCACAGAGCAAAGCGATGTAATAAAAGTTTGTGAGTTGAAATTTTCAAAAGTCTGAGTATTTTTGTTTACATCGTGTGACCCAAGAAGTTCAAAAACACCTGAGGCCAGTGACCATTCTCAGCAGCGTTGGACCAACAAAACTAAAAAGAAATGTAGATGCCTCTCAAATTCTAATATGTCATAAATCCATATCCTCATATATTGGTGTAGAATTAAAACTTATTTTAAACTTGTTAGAGACCATACCGAATAGAACATGATTATTCCAGTATATAAATGAGACAGGCAATCACATGTTAGCCCAGAATTTTTACAGTGCAGGGTCACGTAAATGTAAGTACATTTGTGCTTCATTTTGAGCAGGATTCACAGAAAATTAATTGGTTCCATTTTTATAAAGAAAAGACTCAGATACTTCAAAATTGGTCCTTCAGTCTTCTCCCTAGGCATTCAACCCAGCATCCTTGAAGATAGAGTTCAAAAGTGAACATCACTTCAGGATTTCACGCGGAGCCTCAAACTGCACATGACAGACCTCATCTCACTTTCGCTGCCTCATCATCAGACACACTAAAAGATTCCGCCACTCCTAAAGTGCCACATCCATTACACATTCCTCAGTGAGCGCTGAATAGTTCTGCTTGTAGTTTGAAAAGCTCTGCTCCATCCCCATTGTGGTCTCAAGGACACAATTAAAAAGCCACTTCTGTTAAATATACCCAACTTACAAAGAACATTTTCCTTTTAGCAAATACTTATTTTTATGTAAACTATAAAATATGACTCATTTTTGCCGTAAGTAATTACTTTGTGTGTTTCCCCAAATGCAAGAGTAACCTGTTCCCTAAACAAGTACTTCCATACAAAAAAACACAGGAACACACAAACACACACACACACACACACACACACACATATGCCCACACACATACATATCTGCATACAACAAATATAGCTACTGGAGGCATTTTTAAAGCATTTATAGTCATAGGTATTGTCATATAATAGTAAAATTTTAAGTGTGAAATATATTTAAAAAAAAAAAAACCAAAAAAGTAAGAAGATGAAAAGTAAAAAAAAAAAAAAAAAAAAAAAAAAAAAAAAAAAAAAAAAAAAAAAATAGGAGGGAACAAAAGAGAGAAAGAAAAAGAACAAAGGTCTACAGATTCAATGAAACAAGTACATTAATCAGTGTCTTAGGAACATTCTCAGAACTCTTTATTTGAATTCATTTTCCCAACTCAGATAGTCTCAGGCCTCTCTAGCTTAGCTGTTCTTCATTTTTACAAAAGCAGTCTCCTTAAGGACCGATTATCATCACTGTCAGTAAGATGTCTCTGATTGATGCATGGCCTGAAATTCAAAGTCTATGTTCTAAACATTAAATCCCTCTTTCTTCTTCTCCCAGGAAGCAGACAATCCCTAATAAGGCCTTTATCATTTCACTCAAAAAAACCTGTAGCATGAATCTGAATATTTTGTGTCACTGGGAACAGCTTGCGTACATGCCGTAGGTGACCCCTTCACTGTCACTATAGTTAAATATTATGGGGTCTGCTGGTCCACAGTCACGGTTCTCCACCTCCCAGAACTCAGTGCCTGGAGCCACAGTGGCCTCTCCAGACAAGAGCTTAAGCCATAAGAGTAAAAAGGAAAATAAGGGACTGGGAAGATGGCGCAGTGGGCAAGAGACTTTGCTGTGCATGCAGGAGGATCTGTGTCTGAGTTCCCATCACCCTTGTGAAAAGCCAAAGCATATAACATGCCCAGCTCTGAGCAGGAAGGGGTGGTTGGAGAGAGGAGGACTCATGGAACCTCACGGCGAAGCTAGCCTGGGTTAAATGGCCCAGCTTCCAGGGTTTGAATATTGCTGAGGGTGACAGGGGAAGATACAGAAGGTCCTGTTCAGGCACCTGCATGCAAATTCATGACAACGGGCACTACACACTCACATCTGTGTACCTCACACAGTGTGCATCACACACACACTCTCAAACCTCTTGTGTATGGTTGTATGAATGTTTGTGTGTGCATTAAAAACAGAAAATACTGCTGTAGTCATCAGTATTTGTTATTATTTCAAATATATGTTACTCCATCTTAGGACTCCAATAGGAGGCTTCTACAAAAGATGAAAAACAATGGTTCAGGATTATCTAATTAAAGGTTTCATTTTTTTCTTGTCTGTAGGAAAATTTCTTCCTCTTTGAACAAAATTCTTCAGACCTGTGTCATGCCAATATAAATGCCTGGAACACCCAACTCCACCCTTCTTCTGCCTTCACAATTCTTATTGCTGGAACTCAGCTATAGATGACTGAATTTAAACATAAGTTTTCTAGGTTGGTTCTCCCTTAAGAAAGTCAGTTATTGGTGCTTTCTCAGAAAATTAGGAATAGTGGTACCTCAAGATACAGCTTTCCCTCTCCTGGGCATTCATCCAAATTATGCTCAACCATACAACAAGGACGTTAGCTTAACCATGTTTGTAGCAGCTTTATTTGTAATAGCCAGACTCTGGAAACAACTCAGATGTCCCTCAACTGAGGAATGGATACAGAAATTGTGATACCTTTACAAAATGGAATACTATTCAGCAATTAAAAACAAGGAAATCATGAAATTTGCAGGTAAATGGATGGAACTAGAAAAGACCATCCTGAGTGAGGTAACCCAGAGGCAGAAAGACACATATAGTATATACTCACTTATAAGTGGATATTAGCCATATAGTAAAGGATAAACTTACTAAAATCTATAGTCCTAAAGAAGCTAAACAACAAGGAGAACCATAGAGAAGAGGCTTAATCCTCATTCAGAAGGGCAAACAGGATAGACCTGAGAAATAGGAGAAGACAGGGAACAGGACAGGAGCCTTCCACACAGGGCTTCTGAAAGATTCTACCCAGCAGGGTATTGAAGCAAATGCTGAGACTCACAACCAAACTTTGTGCAGAGTGCAGGGAATCTTAGGAAAGAAGGAGATAGAAAGACCTAGAGGGGACAGAAGCTCCACAAGGAGAGCAACAGAAAAAAACAAAACAAACAAACAAACAAAACCTAGGCCCTGGGGGCTCTGCAGAGACTGATACCCCAGCCCAGAATCATGCATGGAGAGGGCCTAAAATTCCGGCCCAGATATAGCCCATAGACTGAGTCTTCAAGTGGGTACCTAGCAAGGGGAACAGGGGCAGTCACTGGCATGAACTTGGTCACCTGCTCTTTAATCACCTCCCCTTGTTGAGGTGGCCTTACTTGGCCACAGAGAAAGAGAATCCAGGCACTCCTGATGGAACCTGATAGGCTAGGGTCCGATGGAAGGGGAGGAGGACTCCCCCATCAGTGGACCAGGGAAGGACATAGAGAGGGGAGAGTGAAAGAGGGTGGGAATGAGAGGAGATGAGCGAGGGTACTGTAGACACAATACAAAATGAGTAAACTAGGATTAATTGTAGTAGTAGTCACAAGAATGAAAAAGGAGTCGGCTATCCTTTTAAGACTTCTACAATCATGCCTGTACCTCAGACATTTTTTAATGCAAAACAACAAGATTTCCTGGAACACACACACACACACACACACACACGTAAAATTCCTGACGTGGTTTAAACTGGAAGTTCATGCCTATCATCCCAGGCAGTTGAGACAAGAAGTTCCAGGGTAGCCTGTTCAACGTTGTCAGTAATAACAAAGTCAGCTAATAGCTGAAAGGCGGAGCGCCAGTGTGGTGGATGTGAAGTGTTGGGTTTAATTCTGAAGATCCCACCCAAAATATGCTTCCGCTATACAGCGAGGGCTCAGAAAGTGTTGCGGAGCTTGCTCTTTTCTATTATCTCATTTTATTTTGAAGAGGTGCATAGGGAAGTTAATAATCACCCTGAAATTGAAAGCGATGTCGTCACTATAAACTTTCAGGATAACATGGGCACCACTAGCAGAAATGATGTATAAAAATTGTTTGTTTTCACAGGTCAGTAGTCAAAACAAAGCCTCAATATGTACTAGCCCATAAACCAGACAGCAACTATGTGAAAGCAAAATTCATTTATTTACTTATTCAGCGTTCTAAGCTCATGGTGAATAAAATCAAAGCCAACGAATTCTTCCCATAAAAAGTTCAGAAATGCAGATGAATGAGAAGAATATTCTAACATTTGGGATGCCATTGGAACATCCAGGGAAAGTGGTTCATCCCCTGTAGGTAGAATCTCAGGAAGCAGCAGTCCAGGCTGACTGTGAAAGGAACTGGATCAAAACTCCAGGAATATTCACCTAGGTGACTGATAAACAATGGTGGTGGAAGCACTTTCCATTTAAATATAAAGAGTAAGCGTGGGCCTAGTCTTGATTAAAAAAAAAAAGAAAGAAAGAAAAAAGAGAGAGAGAGAGTTATCCACGTGGAAATCAAATAAAGAGGTCTGGGGTTTTCAAAGTAGAACAATAAAAGTGAGGTGAAATACGGTTAGGCATCATCGTTAAGCACCACCATGCAAGGGGAAGGCTTTGCATTTGACTAGAAGAGACATAAGACGAATAAAGTTAAGGAAAGATGGCTGAAGGCGAGGCTGACTACTGCAACACTTACCTACTTTGCATTTCGCTCTGGGTGCAATCCTTAGCATTGAGGGGAAAAAACGGAATAAATACAATACATAATCACCCAAATGGAAG